CAAGTGATCGTGTCCCCTCGTTAATACTTTGATGAACAGTTTCTATATTAACCATTTTACCTGGCCAAGTGATCGTGTCCCCTCGTTAATACTTTGATGGACAGTTTCAATATAAATCATTTTACCTGGCCAAGTGATCGTGTCCCCTCGTTAATACTTTGATGGACAGTTTCTATATTAATCATTTAACCTGTCCAAGTGATCGTGTCCCCTCGTTAATACTTTGATGGACAGTTTCTATATTAATCATTTAACCTGTCCAAGTGATTGTGTCCCCTCGTTAATACTTTGATGGACAGTTTCTATATTAATCATTTAACCTGTCCAAGTGATTGTGTCCCCTCGTTAATACTTTGATGAACAGTTTCTATATTAACCATTTTACCTGTCCAAGTGATCGTGTCCCCTCGTTAATATTTTGATGAGCTGTTTCTATATTAACCATTTTACCTGGCCAAGTGATCGTGTCCCCTCGTTAATACTTTGATGAACAGTTTCAATATAAATCATTTTTTTCCTGGCCAAGTGATCGTGTCCCCTCGTTAATACTTTGATGGACAGTTTCTATATTAATCATTTAACCTGTCCAAGTGATCGTGTCCCCTCGTTAATACTTTGATGAACAGTTTCTATATTAACCATTTTACCTGTCCAAGTGATCGTGTCCCCTCGTTAATACTTTGATGAACAGTTTCTATATTAACTATTTTACCTGGCCAAGTGATCGTGTCCCCTCGTTAATACTTTGATGAACAGTTTCTTTATTAACCATTTTACCTGGCCAAGTGATCGTGTCCCCTCGTTAATACTTTGATGAGCAGTTTCTATATTAACCATTTTACCTGGCCAAGTGATCGTGTCCCCTCGTTAATACTTTGATGAACAGTTTCTATATTAACCATTTTACCTGGCCAAGTGATCGTGTCCCCTCGTTAATACTTTGATGAACAGTTTCAATATAAATCATTTTACCTGGCCAAGTGATCGTGTCCCCTCGTTAATACTTTGATGGACAGTTTCTATATTAATCATTTAACCTGTCCAAGTGATCGTGTCCCCTCGTTAATACTTTGATGAACAGTTTCTATATTAACCATTTTACCTGTCCAAGTGATCGTGTCCCCTCGTTAATACTTTGATGAACAGTTTCTATATTAACCATTTTACCTGTCCAAGTGATCGTGTCCCCTTGTTAATACTTTGATGAACAGTTTCTATATTAACCATTTTACCAGGCCAAGTGATCGTGTCCCCTCGTTAATACTTTGATGAACAGTTTCTATATTAACCATTTTACCTGGCCAAGTGATCGTGTCCCCTCGTTAATACTTTGATGAACAGTTTCTATATTAACCATTTTACATGGCCAAGTGATTGTGTCTCCTCGTTAATACTATGATGAACAGTTTCTATATTAACCATTTTACCTGGCCAAGTGATCGTGTCCCCTCGTTAATACTTTGATGAGCTGTTTCTATATTAACCATTTTACCTGGCCAAGTGATCGTGTCCCCTCGTTAATACTTTGATGAGCTGTTTCTATATTAACCATTTTACCTGGCCAAGTGATCGTGTCCCCTCGTTAATACTTTGATGAGCTGTTTCTATATTAACCATTTTACCTGGCCAAGTGATCGTGTCCTGTCGTTAATATTTTGATGAACAGTTTCTATATTAACCATTTTACCTGGCCAAGTGATCATGTCCCCTCGTTAATACTTTGATGAATAGTTTCTATATTAACCATTCTTAATTGGCGAAGTGATCGTGTCCCCTCGTTAATACTTTGATGGACAGTTTCCATATTAATCATTTTACCTGGCCAAGTGATCATGTCCCCACGTTAATACTTTGATGGACAGTTTCTATATTAATCATTTTACCTGTCCAAGTGATCGTGTCCCCTCATTAATACTTTGATGAACAGTTTCTATATTAACCATTTTAACTGGAGAAGTGATTGTGTCCCCTCATTAATACTTTGATGAACAGTTTCAATATAAATCATTTTACCTGGGCAAGTGATCGTGTCCCCTCGTTAATACTTTGATGGACAGTTTCTATATTAATCATTTTACCTGTCCAAGTGATCATGTCCCGTCGTTAATACTTTGATGAACAGTTTCTATATTAACCATTTTACCTGGCCAAGTGATCATGTCCCCTCGTTAATACTTTGATGGACAGTTTCTATATTAATCATTTTACCTGGCCAAGTGATCGTGTCCCTTCATTAATACTTTGATGAACAGTTTCTATATTAACCATTTTAACTGGCGAAGTGATTGTGTCCCCTCATTAATACTTTGATGAACAGTTTCAATATAAATCATTTTACCTGGGCAAGTGATCGTGTCCCCTTGTTAATACTTTGATGGACAGTTTCTATATTAATCATTTTACCTGTCCAAGTGATCATGTCCCGTCGTTAATACTTTGATGAACAGTTTCATATTAACCATTTTAACTGGCCAAGTGATCGTGTCCCCTCCTCGTTAATACTTTGATGAGCAGTTTCTATATCAACCATTTTACCTGGCCAAATGATTGTGTCCCCTCGTTAATACTTTGATGAACAGTTTCTATATTAACCATTTTACCTGGCCAAGTGATCGTGTACCCTCGTTAATACTTTGATGAACAGTTTGTATATTAACCATTTTACCTGGCCAAGTGATTGTGTTCCCTTGTTAATACTTTGATGAGCAGTTTCTATATTAACCATTTTACCTGGCCAAGTGATTGTGTCCCCTCGTTAATACTTTGATGAACAGTTTCTATATTAACCATTTTACCTGGCCAAGTGATCGTGTCCCCTCGTTAATACTTTGATGAACAGTTTCAATATAAATCATTTTACCTGGCCAAGTGATCGTGTCCCCTCGTTAATACTTTGATGGACAGTTTCTATATTAATCATTTAACCTGTCCAAGTGATCGTGTCCCCTCGTTAATACTTTGATGAACAGTTTCTATATTAACCATTTTACCTGTCCAAGTGATCGTGTCCCCTCATTAATACTTTGATGAACAGTTTCTATATTAACCATTTTACCTGGCCAAGTGATCGTGTCCCCTCGTTAATACTTTGATGAACAGTTTCTATATTAACCATTTTACATGTCCAAGTGATCGTGTCCCCTCGTTAATACTTTGATGAACAGTTTCTATATTAACAATTTTACCTGTCCAAGTAATCGTGTCCCCTCGTTAATACTTTGATGAACAGTTTCTATATTAACCATTTTACATGGCCAAGTGATCGTGTCCCCTCGTTAATACTTTGATGAAGTTTCTATATTAACCATTTTACCTGGCCAAGTGATCGTGTCCCCTCGTTAATACTTTAATGAGCTGTTTCTATATTAACCATTTTACCTGGCCAAGTGATCGTGTCCCCTCGTTAATACTTTGATGAGCTGTTTCTATATTAACCATTTTACCTGGCCAAGTGATCGTGTCCCCTCGTTAATACTTTGATGAGCTGTTTCTATATTAAACAATTTACCTGGCCAAATGATCGTGTCCCCTCGTTAATACTTTGATGAGCTGTTTCTATATTAACCATTTTACCTGGCCAAGTGATCGTGTCCCCTCGTTAATACTTTGATGAGCTGTTTCTATATTAACCATTTTACCTGGCCAAGTGATCGTGTCCCCTCGTTAATACTTTGATGAGCTGTTTCTATATTAACCATTTTACCTGGCCAAGTCATCGTGTCCCCTCGTTAATACTTTGATGAGCTGTTTCTATATTAACCATTTTACCTGGCAAAGTGATTGTGTCCCCTCGTTAATACTTTGATGAGCAGTTTCTATATTAACCATTTTACCTGGCCAAGTGATCGTGTCCCCTCTTTAATACTTTGATGAACAGTTTCTATATAAACCATTTTACCTGGCCAAGTGATCGTGTCCCCTCGTTAATACTTTGATGAGCAGTTTCTATATTAACCATTTTACCTGGCCAAGTGATCGTGTCCCCTCGTTAATACTTTGATGAGCTGTTTCTATATTAACCATTTTACCTGGCCAAGTGATCGTGTCCCCTCGTTAATACTTTGATGAGCTGTTTCTATATTAACCATTTTCCCTGGCCAAGTGATCGTGTCCCCTCGTTAATACTTTGATGAACAGTTTCTATATTAACAATTTTACCAGGCCAAGTGATCGTGTCCCCTCGTTAATACTTTGATGAGCTGTTTCTATATTAACCATTTTACCTGGCCAAGTGATTGTGTCCCCTCGTTAATACTTTGAACAGTTTCTATATTAACCATTTTACCTGGCCAAGCGATCGTGTCCCCTCATTAATACTTTGATGAACAGTTTCTATATTAATCATTTTACCTGGCCAAGTGATCGTGTCCCCTCGTTAATACTTTGATGAGCAGTTTCTATATTAACCATTTTACCTGGCCAAGTGATCGTGTCCCCTCGTTAATACTTTGATGAACAGTTTCTATATTAACCATTTTACCTGGCCAAGTGATCGTGTCCCCTCGTTAATACTTTGATGAGCTGTTTCTATATTAACCATTTTACCTGGTCAAGTGATCGTGTCCCCTCGTTAATACTTTGATGAGCTGTTTCTATATTAACCATTTTACCTGGCCAAGTGATCGTGTCCCCTCGTTAATACTTTGATGAACAGTTTCTATATTAACCATTTTACCTGGCCAAGTGATCGTGTCCCCTCGTTAATACCTTGATGGACAGTTTCTATATTAATCATTTAACCTGTCCAAGTGATCGTGTCCCCTCGTTAATACTTTGATGAACAGTTTCTATATTAACCATTTTACCTGGCCAAGTGATCGTGTCCCCTCGTTAATACTTTGATGAACAGTTTCTATATTAACCATTTTACCTGGCCAAGTGATCGTGTCCCCTTGTTAATACTTTGATGAGCTGTTTCTATATAAATCATTTTACCTGGCCAAGTGATCGTGTCCCCTCGTTAATACTTTGATGAACAGTTTCTATATTAACCATTTTACCTGGCCAAGTGATCGTGTCCCCTCGTTAATACTTTGATGAGCTGTTTCTATATTATCTTGGATGTTGTCAACTTTCTCTTGTTGCGACTGAAAACACAGCATAGTTTTACAATTATAAGGATATTTGTTTCTAAATTTCTCTGTTTCAGAATCTAAATTCTATGGGTAATTCAATTTGCCTTTTCAGAATCTAATGCATTCTGAGTAATATTTTTTAAATCGTACACCAAAACGTTGTGATTGGTTTAAAACGTTCTAAACATTGGAAATTCAACCAATGACGTAACGGTATTTTTATTTTGGTGTTCAAACAATTAGATTACCCATAGTCCTTTAGCTTCTTATCCCTTATAGAAAATACTGTTGTAATATCATTGGTTGAATTTCTATTGTTTAGGATAGTATTAACCAATCAAAACTTTATCAAATTTGTGTACACATTTAAAATATATTACCCAGAATGCATTAGATTATAAAAAGGGCGAATTTCAAAACAATATTTTCAGAAATGATAAAAATTATGACTTGATATGTCTTTTCAGTTATAAGGAATATTCTTTAAAATTTATGGAAAATGAAGATTGTTCAGTGTGTTTTTTTTTGTTTTTTTTGAAAATTGGAAATAGATGTCGTTGAAATTTTCATATATATGCATGGAGAGTTGTCTAATTAGCACTCATACCACATCTTCCTATATCTATAAAGTATGGAAAAAAATAAATATCAACTGTACAAAAATAGATAAGAAATAAGAAGACTTCCTAAAAGAATAACCAGTCTAAAAAGTAAATTTAAGAAGCTTTTATTTTAATAATATGGGAGATTTTCAAAGACATTGTCTAGGAAAAAGCAAAAGTGGTTATAGCATATCGAGATCATCATTACAATGGGAAATCATGTCAAGACATGCCAAAATGCACGTTAACAGGCGCGCCAATAACGGTGTCATACTTATCTTCTCTACAAATAATTCAATTAAATTTAAGAACTCTTAACTAATTACTGGAATCTGTCATTATATTCCACAGAAGCTTGTTTGGCTTATTTAAAACATACTAGAGGGTCTGAATTGGGGGTCTTTCATTTCTGCATTCTTTAATTTTTTAAGCTATTTTTCTCAATTTTTTATTCTTTTTGCCCTTTATTCTCTATTCTTTATATTTTAGCATCTCATTATTCTCTATTCTTTATTTTTTCGGTCCATTTTTCTCTATTCTTTAAATTTCTGCCAAATAATTTCTAGTCTGTAGACCCGCATCCACACCCTCATACTAGCTTGATGAATATTCATCACAATTAATTTATTGGTTACACAATCACTATCTTTTACTCATATTAAACTATTTATTTCTATTTTTACTATTTACCAGAACGTTTTTCCCTGAATCCATAATTGATAGCGTCCTTACTAAAATGGGACAAACATTGAAAAGATCTAGTTTTCAGTGTTTACAGGAGAGGCAATATTTTGTCACTTGATTTCCCACTGCATGTGATGAAAAAAGCATGTGTATATATGTGAAAAAGCATACTTGTATTCCACACAAAAACTAGAGGTGTCTGCAAAGTGTGACTATTACCACCCATACATGAGAAAATTGAGAATGGAAATGGGGAATATGTCAAAGAGACGTAACAACCCGACCAAAGAACAGACAACAGCGGAAGGCCACCAATGGGTCTTCAACGCATCGAGAAAATCCCGCACCCGGAGATGCATTTTAATATGTACTTCCTCTCTTTGATTATTGCTGTACAATATGGACAGAAACAAATAATTCAAATATGGAAAAAATGTTAAAATTACAAAAAAAGGGCAGCTAGAATCATTCTTAACAAATCATATGATACACCATCAAAAACTTTAGTTAAACAATTAGGATGGTTAACTTTTCAAAAAAGAATCATATACCGTATAGCGGGTTATTTTCGCCGGGTGTTTATTTTCGCTTATTTTGGCGGGTTAGGAGAAATCGCGAAAATTTATGCATCGTTCCATACTTTCTAAGTTAAAGCGTTTTGTAAACTATCTATTTTTTGATAAATTAAACAACATAAATGCCAATGGTCATTGTTCACTGGCTATCAGGTGTTAATTAGTTTATTGGTTACATAATAAAATAAATAATAATATAAGAGTGTAAGGTACGATGTCAGATATTTTATCCTTATTAATTAGTGTCAAATTATATAAGAGTTGCAAGTCACTCATGATGATTTTATAATCTAATTAGTACATCAAAGGTCCGGTCAATTTCGTAACTGATCAACCGTAACATTTACAAGAAGTTTGTACACCTGTGAAAAATAACTATGTACCGGTATTCTATTGATTAACTGTATCAAAATATAATAAATAAAAAAAAAATCAAGCAGGAAAAACAAGCATTTAACCATAACAATATAGACCCTTCTTTGTCAATTTTTACAATTTTTTAACTAGAACCATTTCAGTATCCGCCAAAATATTTATTTGGGATTAAAGAATCCGCCAAAATAAAAACCGCCAAAATTTTTCGTATACTTTGTTGCCCGTAAATCGTGAAATTTTACACCCGCGAAAATAACCCGCTATACGGTATCACAAAGGAGTATTAATGTATAAGTGTGTAAATAATATTGCACCTGATTATCTGTGTCAATAATTCAAATATAGAAAAAATGTTAAAATTACAAAAAAAGGGCAGCCAGAATCATTCTTAACAAATCATATGATACACCATCAAAAACTTTAGTAAAACAATTAGGATGGTTAACTTTTCAAAAAAGAATCATATACCGTATAGCGGGTTATTTTCGCCGGGTGTTTATTTTCGCTTATTTTGGCGGGCTGGCCCCTAAAAAAATAAGTATACTAGTTCAGTGATAATGGACGTCATACTAAACTCCAAATTATACACAGGAAACTAAAATTAAATTTGATACAAGACTAACAAAGGCCAGAGGCTCCTGACTTGGGACAGGCGCAAAAATGCGGCGGTGTTAAACATGTTTTTTGAGATCTCAACCCTCCCTCTATACCTCTAGCCAATGTAGAAAAAACAAACGCACAACAGTAAGCACAGTAAAACTCAGTTTAAAAGAAGCCCGAGTCTGATGTCAGAATAAACATGTAAATTCCAACCAAATAATGATTATCACAGAAATTTATCTATATTCTAAAAATCCATATATTTGTCTTGTACATCATTCAGAAAATATGTTCATGAAACGAATCTGTTTGTTTTACACCATTTGTTTTGCATAAAAAGCTGTATGAATGTATATGTATATATTATATTATTATATTTTGAGTTACTCAGAGGGCATCAGGGGAGATTAGTATTGTATTAACTGATTTTACCCTCTTTAAATAAAGTATTATTATCATTATTATTATTATTATTATTATTATTATTAATTGCTACTGTGATATTCAGTATTGAGACTATAGCTATGACATTATGAGATTTTTGGTTTTCTGCCATTCATTTTATGTACAGGTAAATATTGCCTCTGTGTTAGATTGCCACCTTGTTACTGATAGGTCAATCTGAAAGAATTACACTGACCCAGGAACAAAGTCTGATGTTTGTATACTGTAAATTCAGAAATCGAAGGTCAAAGTCAAGGTCAGTATGATGCTTCTGCATACAAAGGTCAGGGTGACCTGACTTTGGTATATGACACACCCCAAGCCCATGATGCAACTGCATACCAAGTTTGATTAACCCAAGTTTTACGATACAAAAGATATGTACTGGACACAAATTGGACAAGGTTTTACTATCATAGGGGTCAAAGTCAAGGTCAGAGTGATCTGACTTTACTTTGGTATATGACACCCAGCCCATGATGTAACTGCATACCAGGTTTGGTTAACCTCAGTTTAACAGTACAAAACTCAAGCGCCAGACCCGAAGCAGGACAGACGGACATGATGGCTATTCCTATATATCTATATGGGGGTATAATCATGTATGTGAAGCAAAGAGCGTGTGAGTTGGCAACTATGATTGAGGAAATGTGAAACATGAGAAGCAATCATACTTTTAAAAAATCCAACTCTACCATAAAGTACATATAAACTTTATAACAGGGATCACTGGTAGACCTATTTGGCAAATGACCGCGATTTTTGGATAATCTGCGCGGAACGGAAAATAATTAGAGGTTCATCGTAAATTTGCTGTGTCACAGAAAATTATGCATGTCATCCGGAGATTTACCGTGTCGGCGGGAATTTGCCGTTTGTCCGATAAAACTGGTGTGTATTGAGTCATTGATAGAACCAGTGATGCGTGAGCGACGGTTATTAATAGATCGTTGTATATAGATGTTTACATAATCCATTATACAGTGTCGACGGGAATTAGCCGTTGGTCCGATAAAACTGGTGTGTATTGAGTCGTCAATAGAACTACTGGTGCGTGAGCGACGGTTATTAATAGCTCGTTGTGATATATACAATGTTTACAGTCAGATAAACAAAACTGTCTTATTACTCTTTTCAGTCGAGATAATAAAGTTACTTACGATTTAAATATCGAATTTGGTAATTGTTCAATAAAGAAAAATCTATTTTAATGTGACCAATGAACAGGATGAATACACGTGGTAACTTTGCAATACACAACTACAAATATTCTCACCTTATAAAATTCTTCTTTATTGTCATGTTTAGAAAAGAAATCAGTTCCTGTACTAATAGAGTCTTTTTACTGAAGATGCAGTTATCCGGCAAGATGTCATACTGATTTGACACTTGTCCTAGTGTAATTAACACCTGCTGTGATATTCCTTGTACAATACAAGTGGAAGGTCGTAAATAATTCAATCTGTACCCGATTGATCAGAATTAAATTTTACCTGTACAGATATTTACTCTTTATGGAGGATATCATAGATACATGTTATATATTGTATTGTATTTGATGAAGATAATTTAAATACATTATATAATAAAGACCTATTTGCATATACATCGAACATGTTCATTCCAACCAAGAAGGTTTGAAATCGAATGTTTTCATCAAACTTTCGATACAATCAGTCCCGTAAATTATAAATACGAGTCATTCGTTTATGGTTACAAAATTGTTACCCTT